CACCAAATCAGCCGTGTGCAACACAGCACCAGTGTACACCACATTGCCTGCGTGCATTGCAGTGCCTGTGTGCACCACGGCGCTTGTGTGCACCACAGTAACCGAGTGCACCATTGTTGTATATAGAATGTTATAACGAATCCTTATGACAAAATGGAGCGCGTGTGGATCCCACAGAAAACAATGGAAAATCATCCTTATGGACAGCGGAGCGCCGCTGGAATTTACGAGTCCTCCCGAGTCCGCCCGCATCACCCTAACTCCTCCCATTTGCGTCCAGGGGGCTCCAGCTAAATTGGCCGTCCGAGAACCAACTGGACCGATTGAATGGACCATTCTGCGGTGCGCGCTGAGGTGCGCAAGTGCGCTGTAGCGCCAACCCGCAAGACAGGGGGTAAGGAGGAGGAGGGGGAGGAGGAGGAGGAGGAGGAGGAGGAGGAGGAGGAGGAGGAGGTGATGGTGGAGGTGGAGGAGGAGGGAGGAGGGAAGAATGTCGCATTCGATTATCAGCACTTTCCTGGCGTGGCGTCTAGTTGTCCGCAGCAGATCCTCACGTACATGCTCCTTCTACATGTCTTATGCACGCAGGCGTTGTGGTGTACACCAGCGCTGCGTTGCACGCGGATGCTGTGGTGTAGACGCGCGCTGTGGCGTGCACAGACGGTGCGGTGCACGCAAGCATTGTGGTGTACACAGGCGCTGCGTTGCACATGGTAGCTGCGGTGTACACATGTACATCGATGTTGTAGTGTACGCAAGCACTGTGGTGTATACAGGCGCTGCGTTGCACACGGTTGTTGCGGTGTACGCAGACGCTGTGGTATACACGCGCGCTGTGGTGCACGCGAGCGTTGTGGTGTACACAAGGCGCAGTGGGGCATATCGCCACCTACATGCTGCTCGCGTCGTCGTCGTCGTCGTCGTCGTCGTCGTCGTCGTCGTCGTCGTCGTCGTCGTCGCTCGTCGCTCGTCGCTCGTCGCGTCGCGCGCGCGGGCGCGGCTGCGGTGCCGGAGCCACGCGGCGGGGGGGGGCGTTACGTCATACTCCCCCTTCCCCCCCCCCCCACCCCCCCCATGACGCCCGTCATCGCCGAACATAAAGAAACGCGCTCCAGAGGGGATGATGGCAAGGGCATCAGAGAGGCGGCTTGGGAGAGGGAGGGGGAGGGAGGACGAGAAGGCGGGCGGGGCGCCCGGCGAGGGCGCCGTCGGCGCGGTTTTCCCTCGACCAGGCCGTTCCGAGGCGAAGGGGGGGGCGGCGCCGCGCGCGCGGCAGGTGCGACGGCCGCGGCGTAGACCTGCACAAGCTGCAGGCGCGCCCCGAAGGGAGTGAGGGATGGCCAAGGCGCTCGTTAGGGGCAACGTTCGTCGAGGACGCGCAAACACGGAAGCATCCAGGCCTCCGGGATGAGGTCGTAGCAGACGGGGTCTGAGGATCGCACCGCATCGCCGAAGCCTCGTTTTCTCCACGCGGACGGCGCCGATGCACCGCCGACGTCGCCGATGCATGGCAAATGCATCGGCGATGTATCGCCGATGCATCGGCGATGCGGCGCGATCTTCCGACCCCGTCTGCTCGGACCCCATCTGGGAGGCCTCTGAATGAAGGCGCGCGGATTGACGACGGGTCCCGTTTCCATACGGAATCGGCGCTTCCTCAAACCTTCCAAAAACCTTCCTCAGGAGGGTTTTTGTTGAAGAACCTTTCTAAAACTGTCCAGCAAACCTTCCTCAGTTTTTTTTTGGGAAGAACCTTCCTAAAACCTTCCAACAACCTCCCTCAGGAGGGTTTTTTGGGAAGAACCTTCCTAAAACCTTCGCTCCGTCGCCGGATCGGGCGGCTCTGGCGGCGCCACGTTCTGGGGGGGCACTTCCCGATCCATGGATTTGGCGTCAGCGCGCCAGAGCCACGGAGCACGAATCCGTGTTGGCCCATCGCCCGAGTTCGGGGGGATGCAGTGGGGGCGTTGGTCAAGGGGAGGCCCAGGAGGCTTCGGGCCCCGGGGGATTCCTTGTCGGATGAGGGCGGCAGTGATATGTGTCCCTGGCCAATCCACGAGTGGAAACCCACCCGTGTCTCAGTGCTTACCAACCAATCGGGACCGAACCCACCGCGCCCTTGAAGGGCGTCGAGGGCCGTGGCCCGCGGCGGGCCCTGGACGGGCGCGCGCTGAGTTCCTTGTTGGGCACTGGCAGAAGCGAGATGAATCAACGCATGCCAACGTGTCCGCACGCGCCGTCGATGTCTGTAGCGCGCGCGAGCTCGGCAGCTCTCACTGTTGGCGATGCTGGCCATGGAATTGCATGTCCGCGCTCGCCCTCCAGAGGCGGGCCCCGTTCCGAACCAGCACCACTGTCAGCGCGCCGCCGCCCGGACCATGTCAGCGCAGTCTTCGCGCGGCTCGTGACCTCCAAGGGGGGTGCACCGAAGGCTTTTGTGGCAGAGTCCGCACTAACACCCGATGTGCTGGTGTGTGTTGTATGCGAATTGCGTTATGAGAAGGCTTGTCTTCTTCGCAAGAGTAAGTATATGTGAGTATGTGTCGGGCACTTCGTGAAGTTTTTCCGTGCACGTGTAGAATTGCGCTCTTAAAAGAAGACGAGCTTGGCGTTTGGGCGGCCGGTAAAGTAAGTCATGCTCAATTTGCAAGGCGCTTTCTCTTGAGCTTAGCATGAGAAATGCATTTACCGGCAGCCCCGATCTTGGGCGAGCCACGCGCGGCGCTGCAGACATTCCGCAAGACCGACTTCACCACAAGTGTGCGTGAGGCGCGCTTATAGTGGTACAGAACTGCCAGACGCGCAACAAAACACATTGTTTGTTTGCATCACTGCGCGACGACTGTATAACATTGTGGACCGGCCAATAACATTGCATGACAGCAACACCGTAACACATGATGCAGCCAAACCTGACTACCCTCGGGGGACGCGGTGGGTTCGGTCCCGATTGCCTGGTAGTTACTCAGTGTCGAGGCCCTGGATTCCTTCCTCGGCGCTTCCGTATCCAGTGTCCTCACCGCCGGCTCAGGGGGCAGCGCATCGACCTTCAATCGCCCACTGATCACTGATAGGGGCCCGATAGCCCACCCCGCCCAGGACTCGGGGGAGGAAGGGGTATACCGATAACTCTGTCATCCCTTTCCCTTGGATTCTTCTCGAGATTCTGGTCAGAACGTGCCCCAGGAGAGGTCCAGGGAGGAGCGGTTCGGTACCTTGTCGCCCCCGCCCATTTTCCCAAGACGCTGAACTGGAGCACCACTCGGGGCTCGGCAGTGGCGCTGTTTGTCGGGCCCTTCCCCACGTCTGGGTCAGGGAGGGGCCGCTTCGTGGCCGAGGCTCGCCGTGGCCACAAGCGCTCCGCCTTCGTTCCCGATGCAGCGCTCCCCGTGGCAGCGCTGTGGCTGTACGTCGGGGGGGGCAGTAACCCGGGCCTCGCACGCCGGTTCCTGGAGGGTCTCCTGCCTCGGTGTGCCGTGGCATCCGGGGGTGGCTTCCCGAACGCACCCGCGCGGGTGAGCGCGGGTCTGCGCATGTCGGCAGGTCAGCCCGAGTTTCCGACTTCAGCCCTTCTGGCCCCATGTGGGTTGCCTCCACGAGTCGCCATGCAGGAAACGAGTCCTGAGAGAGACGCGTCCTGCCTAATGCCCCAAGGCTTTCCCCTGGACCATCTCTTGATCCCGAGTCGTTTGCTCGGCGCCTGGGGCCTGAAAGCGGGGAACAAATTTCCAAGGCCCTTTTCTCAAGGGCCCGCTTCTTTCATGCCTAAAGGACCTAGATTTCCCCTGCTCCCCCTCACCCAAGGAATCGTGGTCGGAACGCGCTTTGGCTGGATCCGCCTTGAGGTCCTGGCCAGAACGCGCTTCCAGGAGGACTTCTGAGGTCGATTCTCAAGGGGGGCCATGAGGGGGAGCAGGGGCAAGGATGCAATCTTCCCTCCCTCCAGGGTCCATTTCGATCCGATCGATCCGATGCGATATCGATTTCGGCTAGCCTGATCCGGTTCGATTCCGATATTCCGACGGTCTGATGCGGCTCGATGTTTACGTGGCGCTGCTGTGCATCCTGGCGCGGCCGGTCCAGTCTGATCTCCGGCTCCGTGCCGATACGGCCCGAGCCAGCGCACAGTTTCGATACTCGAGTTCCCGATGAAATGCTGACTGATCCTGCCTTCTCACGGTCCTCCTTGGGGGGTCACATGCGAACCCTGCCCCTACCCTCCACGACTTCTGAGGGGGAGGGTGGGGTTCACTTCGCTCGGGAGCTCCCGAACGAAGTGAACCCCGCCCTCCCCCTCAGAAATCGTGGGGGGTAGGGGCAGGGTTCGCATGTGGCCCCCTACTCCTTCCTCCTCCCTCTCCCTCCCGCGATCCTTTCCTCTCCCTGCCGCGAGCCCTCCCTCCCAGGATCCTCCCCCCCTACGACCGCCTCCAACGCCGAGCGAGGCCTCGACCCACCCCTCCCTCCCTTCCTGCTCCCTCCCTCCCTCCCTCCTCCCTCCTCCCTCCTCCCCTCCCCTCCCCTCCCCCTCCCTCCTCCCTCCCCCTCCCTCCCCTCCCTCCTCCTCCCCCCCTCCCTCCTCCCTCCTCCCCCCTCCTCCTCCTCCCTCCTCCCCTCCCTCCCGCGATCCTCCCCCTCCTGCCGCGACCCTCCCTCCCAGGATCCCCCCCCCCCCCCACGACCCCGCCTCCACGCCAAGCGAGGCCTCGACCCACCCTCCTTGCTCCTCCCTCCTCCTCGGTGCTTGGTCGTCCGTCGCTCATGCCGTGGGTGGGGCAGAAGATTTCTTTGCCTTGACGGGAGCAATGATGCCAGCACGCACGGTGGATTAGACTGATGGCCTGGCAGTATCAAGATGCTATTTTCGGCCAAGGCGAGTGTTCGAGTTGCAGATGCCCTCGCCTCCTCGACTCAGCGAGACGATTCGGGCTGTTCTCCTCCGCCGTCTAGGTCTGAATGCTGCCGTGGGGCTCGAGGCAGCTGCCCCTCCTCAGTTATCGCACGCACGGCTGAGCATGGGCCCCTTTCTTGTCGCATTGGCAGGGGCCCCGCACAACGAAGCAGACCCGGGCCGCCCTCGCCGCCTGCCTGTCGTGCTGCCAGCCTGTCCTGGTGCTGCACTGATGCTGCTCGCAGCCAGCCGTCGTGCTTGCGTGTGTCGTGCCCTTTGCCTTGCTGGGCTGCCGCGACTGTCAGCACTACTTGACGCCCGTGCCGAAACACTCGCCGATGTTTAGCCCGACCATGCAGGAGTTGAATCAGCTGCGCAACTCAAGAACAATCCTCCCCCCCCAGAAAATGTCGCTCCAGATTTTGTCACTGGGGCTCAAATCGTGAGCCCCCCGCCAGGGTGGATGGTTTGGGCCGCGGTGCTTTTTTGGCCGCCAGGCAGTGCGGGATATAGATACCGTCAGCACTGCTTTTGAGCTCGAAGTTCCACATTTGTGGCCCTCATGGGCCCTTAACGGCGCTGCGGAGCGTGACGCTTCCTCCCATCGAGTCGATCCGATCCGATCCTCCTCCCCGCCCGGACCTACCGATTAGGCGCGCTCGGCGGACGCGTCCAGGGAGGCGGAGCGCCTTATGCTCGAGCTGGCGACCGAGGAGGCACCGTCTCGCCGCCGCCGCCGCCGTGGTCGTCGTTGTCGTCGTCGTCGTCGTCGTCGTCGCCGTCATCGTCGCCGTCGTCGTCGTCGTCGTCGTCGTCGTCGTCGTCGTCGTCGCACCCCCCACTGCGAGTGAGGGGCTTGCTAGCTTCTGCTAGCGGGGAACTGGCCGCGTCGGTCACGATTGAGTCTTCCATCTTTGGGACGTCAGTGCAAGTCGTGCCTTTACATATATTTGTTTCGCTTGAGCTCGGTATTCGGGCTGCTTGAGAGTAGGAAACATCCTCGTCGTGATCGTGATCGTCCTCTCGAACGATCGATGGATCTATGTTCTCGAGGTTCGAAGAGGTCTGTGAGCCATTTTTTTTGCCCCTGGGCGGCCCGCTGCTTCTGCGCCCTGGGGCCGTGAGGAGTCGACCCAGGTTGAGAAAATGCCCAGGATGTACCCTGTTCCAGTCGGACCGAGGTATGAGATCGAGGTCGGACGCTGATGGGTTTCCCACGACGGCGTGTCATTGATGTTGTTTTCTTGCCCCACCGGCGTATGAATCCAGCCATGTGTATTTCCAGCTTCCCTGGTATCCAGCGTTGCGGCAGCTCGCGGAACACCACGACCAGAGCTCTAGACCCTGTCTTTCTGTACCTTTCTCTCCGAGCTGGAGCGATCCCTGGTGGTCCTGGGCCCCAGAGCCGTGCGAGAACGCCGACTCACGAAGGCGAAGCAGAGTTAGCCCCGCTTGCCCCAGGGGAGCGGCCCAACGCCCGGCGTGGCAGACCGGCAACGCCCGGATCTCAGGGCTTACGGCAGGCGCCCGTGCGCACGCTGGCCCAAGCGCTCTGGCCTCCCTCCCGAGGCGGCTCTCTGGCCCCCCCGTGCCGCGCACGAGCACCCGCCGAGGGCCTGCCTCGCGAGGGCCGCCCCCGCGCGCGAGATGTCGGCAGCCCCGGTGGCACCTGCGGATGGCCCTTCGGGGGCCCTCGCGCCGGCCGCCGCCGAGCCCACCGCCGAGGCGCCGGCGGCGGCGGCCGCCCCCGAGCCCACCGCCGGGACTGGCGCCAGCGCCCCGTCTCGGCCGCCCAAGGCTCGAAAACGGAAGCGATAGCCAACCGCTAAAGGCCTTTAGCTTTGGTTCCCCCCCATTTCTCTCGGCGGTGAATAGGACTGGTCCTAAACACTCCTCCTCCTCCTCCTCCTTAGGAATGGCACGAGGAGGAGGAGAAGGAGGAGGAGGAGGAAGAGGAGGAGGAGGAGGTGGTGGTGGTGGTGGAGGTGAGGATGAGGAGGAGGAGGAGGAGGTGGAGGAGGAGGAGGGAGGAGGAGGAGAGGAGGAGGAGGAGGAGGAGGAGGAGGTGGTGGTGGTGGTGGTGGTGGTGGTGGTGAGGAGGAGGAGGAGGAGGAGGAGAGAGGAGGAGGAGGAGGAGGAGGAGGAGGAGGAGAGGGAGGAGTGATGAGGAAGGAGGGGAGGGAGGAGGGAAACGGGCAGAGGGAGGAGGGAGGAGGGAGGAGGGAGGGAGGGAGGGAGGGAGGGAGGGAGGTAGGGAGGAGGGAGGGAGGGAGGTAGGGAGGTAGGGTGGTAGGGAGGTAGGAAGGCATGGAGGCAGGGAAGTAGAGAGGTAGGGAGGTAGGGAGGTAGGGAGGTAGGGAGGTAGAGAGGTAGGGAGGTAAGGAGGTGGGGAGGTAGGGAGGTAGGGAGGTATGGAGGTAGGGAGGTAGGGAGGAGGAGGAGAAGGAGGAGGAGAAGGAGGAGGAAGCGAGGGAGGAGGGATTGGTAGGGAGATGGTGATGATGATCATGATGATGCTGATGCTGATGCTGATGCTGATGCTGATGATGATGATGATGATGATGATGATGATGATGATGATGATGATGATGATGATGATGATGATGATG